CAACACCTTTTTTACATCGTGGCAACCAAAACTGGATGTAGCATTCCAAGTGTGGCCTGACCAAGGCATTATAAAATTTACATTCCAAGTGTGGCCTAACCAACGCATTATAAATCTTACATTCCAAGTGTGGCCTAACCAAGGCATTATAAATCTTACTTTATTGTAGATTATATTAACAGAATCTTGTAGGACAGAAAGTACACCTCTGTCTCTGTCGGGTTGTAAAAGCTAAGATAGATACACGGAAGTTCCTCCAAACAGCCTCCATTATTGTTCCTCAGCCACAGACAGAAACATTGCCAAGTTGAAGCAGATGACTTGCAGCATGAAACGTAATTCGCTGGAAACTATTAGGGAGGTATTATCTTAAGTCTCTTTCTTCCATGCAAGGTGTCTAAACCTTGCTGTGTTTCGCACCTCTGGAATGCAGCCCCTGCCTTCTGGGAATCCAGACTATTTTCCACCACACTCTCCCCCTCCCCTCGCCTTGATGGTCCAGGAAGCTAGGGAGGGTCCCCTATGACATGTTTGCCATGCCCTCATTCCTTCTAAGGGTTTGGCTATATCTGATCTGATCATTGCCTAATCTGCAGCTCTTCCTCTTATCTCCCACATACCATGAAAGATTTGTGGGCATAATGAACTGGCTTGTATTAGCAAGTTCCTGGCAACTAACTCATGTAATCATGTAATCTATGGAGGGGGGTAGGCTCATTTCAAGTGAATCCCAGGATCGTACAAGAAGTCCTTCTTATCTTAGGATATCTGAAGGCGCTTTCAAGATAAAGTTTGAAGTGCCCCATAACTGGCAAAATAGGTTTCCTTGGATCCTGTGAGAAAGACGATAAGAACATGTTTATTCTCTGCAATGACTGGTCAACAGAAATTGTCTGCAGGCCACTGAAGGAAAGATGTGCTGCAGGGATGACCAAGTAGGGCAGACCTCAGTCGAGATCAGCAGCTAGTATTAAAAGCTTAACTCCCGAGGTGGCTTATATAATCTGATAATTCTCCTCTCCATTACCACACCCAAAAGCCAAAGATACATTTGGATTTGCAAAACAGGTAGCTTTCTTCTGCTGCTGCTTCTCTTCTTCTTCTCTTCTTCGCTTCTTTTTCTTCTCTTCTTCATCTCCTCCTCCTCCTCTTCTTCTTCTCTTCTTCTTCTCTTTGTTTTCTTTTTCTTCTCTTCCTCCTCCTCCTCTTCTTCTTCTCTTCTTCTTCTCTTTGTTTTCTTTTTCTTCTCTTCCTCCTCCTCCTCTTCCTCTTTTGCTGCTGCTCCTTCTCCTTCCTCCCCCTCCTCCTCTCCCTTCTCCTCCTCCTTCTTTTCCTCTTTTACCATTCAAAGTGTCCCGGGAGATACAAATTTCTGGTTCTTGCACTTCTGGCTGCCTCAACCTGGCTAGGTGGCATAGTGGTTAAGACACTGAGCTTGTTGATCAGAAAAATCGGCAGTTTGGTGGTTTGAATCCCTAGTACAGGTCTCCTGCATGAGCAGGGGTTTGGACTAGATGGCCTCCAAGGTTCNACATACACATTATATACATACTCATACATATCATATGTGTATGTATACGATGTATATGTGTATCAGTGGTGGGTTGCAGGAGGTATGCCCCAGTACAGGCGTACCAGTGCCTGCTGGGAGGACCAGGTACCATTCTGGTATGGTGCTCTGGAGGGCCTGCCTGCCTGCCTGAGCTCCTTATCTGCTGGAGCATCGCAGAGGCGTCACAGAGATAAGGACGCATGCCCATGTGCGCGGGCGTTCTGCGTGCGGGCATGTGGGGAACTCCGGGCCCCGTTCCACTGTACTGGTTGCAGCGGGATCCGGAACCCACCACTGATGTGTATATCATCATATACATACACATATGATATGTATGAGTATGTATATAATGTGTATGTATATGTATAGAGGAGTGGGGTTCGACTTAGTTATCAAAGCACCTGAGACAGTGGTTGGTTCCTATTGGTTTGGCCGAACCGGTAGTGGTTTGGGGGGTCTGCCATGCCCTCAAACTGGTTCCCCGGGCAGCACCATAGGCACCGCCTCTTGTTTTTCAATTCTTCGCATGCATAGAACAATTTTAATTGCACTGCACATGCGGGCATCACACGCACACCCAAGCGAACTAGCAGTAGTGCCTGCTGGAACCTACCCCTGACCTGAGGGCAGGATAGGAAGTAGCGGGTGGAAGACCATTAAAGAATGATCCAGTCTAGAACGATGGAGAAAATTCCTGACTCTGAACAAGCAATCAATGGAATGGGTTGCCTTCAGAAGTTGTGGGTGCTCCATCCATGGAGCTTTTCAAGA